TTCTCATTGGCCCCCCCCCCCCGTCCCCCCCCGGGGGAACCGCGGACCCCCCCCACCCCCCCCCCCCGAAATGACCTCTGCGTAGAGTCCAACCTCCAAAGCTGCCGTTTCAGGCCCGTAGCTACAGTGGGGCATTTCGGGGCCTGGCCCCCCAACTTCCTGTCAGGGCCCCATGACTTCCTTTCAGCCCAGTCCCCCTGACTCTCTGGCAAGACGTGGCGGCCACTGCAAACTCCCCCTGCGCTTCCAGAACCACGGTGGGGTGTGTGTTTCCTTATGCTCGTCGTACTTGGCTCAATGCACAGGCGATCATCGGTGCCCTTTCTCCTGGTCCCCACCCACCCCCAGCTCTGCCCTGGGCTATCCAATCAGCTCGAGGAGGGGCGGCAAGGCGGCAAGGGGAGGGACCCTGGAAGAGGCAGCAGCGCTCCGGCCACACCATTCAAAGTGAGCCAGGCACCTCCACCGCTGCCCTTTGTCCCAGAAGCGCTTGCCCCTTCCTTAGCCCCCCCCCCCCCCCCAGTGGGAAGCAGTGATGGAGCAGCAGACGCTCCTCTGAAAACCCCTCATCCTCCTCCCGTGGCTGGTGCTGCTGCTGGGTGCAGCGGGCACTGCCAGGCCAGACATGCAAGGTAAGCCCTCCCTGTTGCTGGCACACCCCCCCACACACACACACACCCAGCCAGGCACCCCTGGCATGGCGAGTCTCCCAGTGCCTCTGGGCATCCCAGCCCAGCTGGAGTGTGTAAGTTAATTACCTTTATTTTATTTTATTAGCCAGTGTCCCAGTTCCCCCCGACATAGAAATCCCTGGCTACGGGCCTGTGCCGTTTCCACCCAGGGCACCAAGGGCTCCTGTCGTCTGGAGATCAATGGTCATTCCAGGGCCCACCTGGAGTTTGCATGCATAAAAGGAAGGGATCCCTTTGTCGAGAGAGTGATCCAATGGGTGGGGAGAGAATGGATACTCCATTAGGCAAACTTCATAAGAACCTAAGAGACGCCAATGTTGGATCAGGCCAAAGGGCCATCCAGTCCAACACTCTGTCACGCAGTGGCCAGAAATACCAGTGCCATCAGGAGGTCCACCAGTGGGGCCAGGACATTAGAAGCCCTCCCACTGTTGACCCCCCCCCCCCAAGCACCAAGAAAACAGAGCATCCCTTGCCACC